TTCAGGGCACTTTTGGCCAGCGGGAGAGTTGTGAGGTTCGAACTCCAGCAACCTGAGGCTGACAGCTTTGTGGAAGCTGCCACTTAAAGGCCTGAGCTAGGGCCAGGCCCCCAACAGGATAGCTTGGAAAGTTGCTGCTGATTTCTGCTGGTCTATTGAAAGGAGTAGTTAAGGCTTATTTTATTTAATTTTTCTCTCCTTTTTAATATTTTATATCTTTTTAATAAATTTTGCATGCTTATATCCGGTAATCTGGAAAACCAATTTAAAGACAACAATACGCAATATAAAAACCATTTTGAATTCCTATTTGTTTAGTGGAATTCTGTATTATTGCTAACTTTTTTTTGACTATTTTTTATTCTCTTTAAAAAATCTGTTAAAAAAAGAAACCCGGTAGACCTGGCTTCCTCGCTCAACATGAGCACCATTCAGCTAACGTTGGCTAAGTCTAGGGATTTTTTCACTACTCCCTGTGATCCCTTTATGGTCCCTAGCAAAGTGTCTGCCCCAAGAACAATGATCCTGTCCTGATGTCCCAAGAGCTTTCCACTTAGGAACATAATACAAAATAGAATAGGATCTCTTCATAGCCTGTTGTTTGCCTATAGATGAAGATAAGGACATCCTGAGTGAATTCAGTGTGTGACTATTGTGACTATGGATACTGCCAAGGCTTATCCAAAGCTCCAAAAAGAAAGCCATGGGGTTCTGCAGAATATCATTTTTAAAAAGTCTCCCTGAGGGAGAAAAACAGTGAAGGCACTCTTGGATCTAGGGTTCATGGCATATTTTTGGCTGGGGCCCAATTGACAGCCTACCTTGCTCTGGATACTTCATAAAGAACAGGTTGGCATACATGTCTTTCATTGGTGACAATAAGAAAAATAAATTATTCTTTAATAAAAATAGTTGGCTAGATGATGTCTTTGCAAAAGGAATGATGGGTGTGGGATAGCATTGCTGGGCAAGGCTTTATCTTAGCAATTGTGGAAGCAGTTGGCCTTGAACATGTCCCTTACTTCTTTATTTCTGGAATACCTGGACTAAAACCCACACTGGGATAAGGTCCTTTTCTTGGTGCTCATACCCTACAGTATCACCTATCACATTAAAAATTATTTTTTTGCATATGTGTTCTTCCTGCACCAACCAGAAAAAAATTTTGATTGGTCTCTTTATCCTTAGTGTACGGCAGAGCTCAAAGTGTGGTAGGTCCTGAGTATGGGATGTTGAGCTGAACTGCGCTGGAGTAAAGATGTCAGCGAACACACAAATCTTGCACCAAAGGACTAGAAATCCACACACTCTAGATCAGCTGAATTGTCTTTTTTGGACCATCACCTTGTTATTTCAGAGTTTTGCACACAAGGGTCCCCGCAACACCAGTCCCTCTGCCCCTCTCCTAGAAGTCCGTTGAGAATTCTATCTTCTAAGTATCATGTGTGATTCCATCCTTGATACTATCAGCAAAGAGGCATAATCCACCATTTTAACCAAACTGATGAGGAATAATACTGGAATATTATGATTGCCTCATATGCTAAGCAGCTTCAAATGCACTTCATACCTTTTAGAAATGGTTGTGCATCTCCCGGGTGGATGCAGCATTAATTAGTTAAGCATGGTTATTCCCAGTGAAGAGCACATTCATTATAAGTTAGTAAATTTCAATTTTATAGCAGGTGTATTATGTTGAGATTTTTATAAATTGTTCATGTGAGGATAAGCTATATAATTTTACTTTATTATTTTTCTGTTCTGTACAGTACTCAAGTACTGAGTGTATATATATGTGACAGAAAAAACTACAATTACTGTGCTCCTAGATAAGACATCAATTTTGAGACAAAATAATATGGTATATACGTGCAATTTTGCATTTATGGCATATGAATCTTGCTTTTAGTAATTTACATGAGCCAAGAGAGTAACTTAGACTTTTCCTTTCATAACTTCTGGTGTGACTTGGGGAATTACAAATCTTTATTTCTGCACTTGTGGATCTATAAAATGGGCACAAAAAAATAAAATGGGCTCAATATTCTGGGGGCTGAGATAAAGATTATGTAATCAATAATTTCATATAACACATGGGCAGATACATAAGGCTCAGGGCATACTGACACATTTTGTGGGGGCAGAGAAAATTCAGGGCCATTGTAGTCTTTGTTTCCTATTATCTACAATGCATGTGCTGTTATTTTCTCCACTAAGAAGCTCACAGCCAACCCAAACTCTATACACGAAAGCTCATGGGCATTGTCTTATTCCTTTGCCTTAATCGTCTTTTCCTGATGATTTCATCTAGTTTCATTTTTCTGTACTCTCATTGTTGCTTCATCGTCTTTATTTTTGAAACACTTCAAATGCTCTATTTAGGAATGGGTGCTATATGAATAAATAATGAAAACAAGCTTATTTCCCTTTGTCCTCAGTATGTTAGAGATGGTCTAGGCTAATTCAGATTCCCTAAAACATTTATAGGCAACAAAGCTTTTAAGAAAATGCATTTAACCCATTTTGCAACCATACTCTCTCCACAGACCGGCAAACAAGTCACTGGGCAGGGAGCCCATATGTGAACCAGGCTTTCTTGGGGAGAACTGAATTTTCCAAACACTAAGTTACTCCCCAGCAGCCTGGTAACTCTGTGGTCTCTGTATTGGAGGGACTGTCCTGTGAATTCCAGGGTGCTCAGTAGTGTCTCTGGACTGTACCCGCTAGCTGTCACTGGTGCATCTGATTTCCTACAACAGCTACCAAAATTGTTCTCAGGCTTCAAAAAAGTCCCCTTATCTAGGGCTCTACTATCTTAGAGATATATCTCTCTCCTGAACCCAGAGGTGCAAGAAATTTAGTAACGTAACAAGACTTTCTCCATTAAATCAGTATCATTTTCCCCCTCAGACCTAGCCACCATTCTTTGATAGACACTTGGCAGTATCAAAGCCCATGCACAGAGGGACCCAGCGCACATTAGGGGACAAATCAATTTGCGATTTCCTAACAGAGAAGAAAGGAAGCTCATGCTACTTTGGAAAATGCAACTAAAAGGCAGATTAATTCCAATTTCATGAAACTCTCAAATGTTTACATTTGACTCAACACCTAATTTTCTCAGGCAAAGGCTCATAAAACCTGGGAGCACAAGATGCATTTGGGGAGGGGAGCAAGACCACCCCAGTGATTTTTATGTATGAAAAACCTCAAGTCCCTTTGAATTCAAGGGGTAAAAGTGGTCCAACCTCCTTAATAAGCAGATGTTTGCAATCATCAGAAATACATATTTGGCTGTAACCATTTCTCTGTTCTCCAGCATTCAGTCTCAAAGAGAATTTACATAACACCATGTGACATGTAGAATGCTTAAAGGCACCAACCATGACAGGACAAATTACTCTCATTTTTCAATACTCTTTGCAAGGTGCTTCGCTGCAGGCGCGCGTCGGGCTGCATGCTGGGGTGGTTCTGGGGAGGAGGGGTTCGGTCAAGATCATCATGCGTGCAAACACTCCGTGCCTGAGGTGCGGTGGGGGTTTGTGCCAGGCAGCCCACTTACCCTCCATAAGCCGGGATCGGGGGCGGGGGCGCCGCGGCCCGGAAGGTGTTGTACACGGCGCGGCCACGGCCTCGCAGGTGCGCCCCTCGATAGGCGGCTGCTGCGGTGGCAGCTGGATACGGGAAGCCGGGCACTGTGGGAGAGAGGAGAGAGTCCTGTGAGAACTGTGATGTGTGCGCCTGTGTGCAGTGCCCTCGAGGGGACTATCTTCTGGACCCTCGGCCCGTCAGAGGCAAGGCAAGTCTCCACCCCAAGGATTCTGAGACAAAAAGCAGACAGCAGAGCTGAGGCCAAAGAAAAATTCCGGGGAGGAGGAGTGAGGACAGTGGTCCCTCTACCCACAAGAATGTGGCCAATGACAAACATTTACAGGGATTTCTTACTCCCATGAGACAGACTCACAGCATAAACTCACACTGTAACAAAGATAGATGGTGAAGTGCACGCCCAGTAGTTCTCAATCACTGTACATATGTATATGTGTATATGCATTTCCTTATGCATATACCTGCTTCTGAGTGTGCAGTATGCATTTGTGCACATGCATGTGCATCTATAAGTGTAACTGTGCTTACAAACATGTGCATCCATATATATACTAGTATCTCTGTGCATATACATACATGTGCATATTTGTAAAGACATTTATAAACATACTTCCACATGCTAGTAATTATCTTTGGGGCTGAAACACGTAAGTAAGAGTTCACTTTTTATTTATAGCTTTCCTTTTATCCCATTTTAAAACATTTCCTGGGGTGGGGAGATGGCTCAGTAGAATAAGTGCTTCCCTGGCAAATGCAAGGGTCTTGAGTTCAATCCCCGGTTCCGCCAAAAAAATAAAAATAAAACATTTCCCATATTTTCCATTATGCCATATATGACCTGTCGGAAGCTTTTAATTGATATATACCTACCAGCATGAGTATGTGGAATTATGTCATGAGTGTGCACACCACTTGTGTCTCCCTAGAATAGATGGATAATGACGAGCCAAAATCTCCACAGCCTCCTATGCAGCTTTTGAAAGCATACACAGCCAGGCATGGTGGGACACACCTATAACCCAACACGCTTAGAGGCTGAAGCAGGACAGTTAAAAGTTTGAGTTCAACCTAAGCAATGTAGCAACATAGTGAGATCTGGTCCCAGAATAAAAAAAGAAAAAAACAAAAACAAAAACAAAAACACAAGCACCCTAAACACAGACAGAGAAATGTGACAATAAGCTCTTGGGACTCCTTTCCTGGAAGAAGTTGCTAAAAGGTGGTGCAAAGTTAAGAGACGACTTGAGCATGACAGTCCTTGAGACCTCTGAAACTTCATTCAAAGGCTTCTACACAGGAGCACCGTATTCCTGTGGCGCCCCAGTGAAACTCCTCCGGTGGGTGCGACAGCCAGTTCTGGGGCTGCCTCCTGGATCCTCTGGGTACAGCCCTCGCTTTTCTCACCATGCCTCTCCCAGCTCACATAGCGACAGGTAGTGATTCCCAAACCACATCCCACACCGACCTGCTTTCCTGGAGAGAGTATTTGGGAAGCTACTGTCCTAGGAGTGTTCCAGTGACATCTCAGGCAGCCTTCGGTGAGGAAAGCGCTACCTTGTGCAGGACACCTAAACTCACAAAGTGCTACAGTTCATACTGTGCAAAAATGCTCTTCCCCTGTGTCCACAGAGCCAAGAGAGATCACTGGGCCCTTCCCACTGTTGCCTTCAAGAGTAGAAGCACCCTATTGTGACTCTTCCCAGCTCTTTCAGGGTCCTACTCATGCACACTTATATACAGGCCAAACTTTGGCTGGGGAAAAGACAAAAACTGCCCGAAAGGAAGACATTGGAAGGAAAAAGAGTGTGTTAAGTATCAGGAGCCACTAGGTGCTCCCCAGGAGGTTGAGAGTGAACATGGGTGTATGAATGGAGAGAAATTTGTTCCTCCCTGGGCATGGGGGTTGGGGAAGAGGAAGAGGTGGGGGGAAAAGAAGAGGAGGAAGAGAGAGAAGGAGGGAGGGAGGGGAGAGAGGAGAGAGAGAGGAGAGAAAGATGAGAGACAGAGAGAGAGAGAGAGAGAGAGAGAGAGAGAGAGAGAGAGAGAGAGAGAGAAAGTTTCCCATGAAAGCCATTCTCAACAACATACCACTTCTAGACTGGAAAAAAAAAAAAAAACCAAACAAACAAACAAAAGAAAACCCCTTGAACTTCATGAACAGCCACCTGGGTATGATGATCTGAAATTCTTTGTGCTCTTGAGTGGTGAGTGGATTCTACTGCAACTTTTTCCTGCAACATTGGCCAAACCCTAGGATCACACATCCAGGCCACCATGATTGCATTCTTCTATCTGTATCCGGGAAGACCATAGAGGTTATTTTTAACTTTTTATTATTGTTGTTAAAGACAGATCGTGCAGTTAGAGCCAGCACTCCTTGCCAGCCCCCAGCACCTGACTTTCTTGGACGGCATTTCCACTCACGTGTTGGTGAGATGTGAGTTTCAATAGAGAAAATGAGTGAATCTTAACACCATCAGAGACCAGCAGGAATGGGGCAGGAGAAGCTTGCTGCAAGACTGGGGGAAAAATGAGTGGAAAGGGCTTGACTCCAAATCTCTTTTGCCACAGTTCAAATATTAAGTTTTCCTAGGAGCACCCTGGATTTTGAAATAAAAGAAATGAAGGACGCACAATCTGGCAGAACAGCTGGCAGCCTGTGTTAGGATGCGCGGTAATTATGCTGACCTATTCATTATCGCTGGCTGTGGAGCTGTGCGAGTGAGACAAGATTCCTCTCAGCGACAAGCCGGTTTTACAGTCATTCTTGGAGGATTTAGATGTTGAGATAGAACATGAAACAGAAGCTCAGCAGCAGAGCAAGGGGAGCAAATGCTGCTCAGATTTGGGGAGACCAGGAATCTATTTGTGCCTCTTTATTCCAGGCAAGAAAATGTCTAACCCCTGCAGGGTGAGGGGCTTAGAACGCCTCATGCAAGCCTCTCTAGGTTCCTGCAAGTGGAGGAGATCCAGGAGGGCAGCTCCTGGCTCAGATATTGCCTTCAGGGAGGCCAAGTCCCTTTCCTTAGCTCTCTCTTATTGTTAGTCTAGACCTGGCCCAGGGGCCCTTTACAGTCAGTCTCTGGTTAGGCATTCTGATCAATGAGCTTTTTTTCTGTTGTTCCCTTATTTTTTTTTCCTTCTTTTGCTCTATCATTTTTTTTCATTTCTTCGTTCCCCCCTTCCCCCTTCCATTAATTTTATACTATTTTTCCATTGTTTTTCCCTTCAAATTTCACCTTGAAGAAGACTTCTCTGATTCTCTGCAGTGCATGTAAAAAATCAAGTATCTTGAGAAGGACGTGGTACTATGGGCCTGTGATCCCTTCAGCCTGGGAGGCTGAGGCAGGAGACTGGGAAATTTCGTACTTTAGCAAGACCTTGTCACAGGACACTCCATCTGTTCTTCTGGGAGACTTGGAGGAGCGTCTGGCATCACACAGGTCTGCAGTACCTACCACTGTGCCTTGTCACTCTACCAGTGGTTAACCAATGTCCATGTCTGTCTTTGTAGCACAGTGGCATTCTCTACTCTGCTGTTCAGCTGTTCACCATTCATCACACAGTCCAAGGTACACAGTGGCTGCAGATAAACTTCATGCACACTGCACAACCGGTGCATGGTCAAGATCTCTAGAAAAATCAGTGCTATGTTTGTCCAGAAAATACAACTAAACAAAAGACACAGTGATTCCAGTGGAAGAAGACAGTGTTTGAACAGATGCATTGCTCTTGAAATTTTCAGAAGCCTTATTTCCTTTAAATTCACTTTTACTGCAGCATAGATGGCAGGGTTTGGAAATTTTACTTGTTCTGAGAAAAATCCTTCAGACTTGTACTACCTATTAAAAGGTTTGAAGTCACATCGCTCCCTCTGCAATAACCATTCTTTGAACACTATATGCACAAATAATACAGAAAATAACAGTCAGTGTAATCCCAAACTCCTCTGATTTGTACCTGTACCTTCTGTGTTCCTCAGCTTCTCTAATGATAGAGAATTTTTTTCCCATGGTACCTGGTCTAGAACAGCTTGCCTGTGTTCTTATGCCACTGAGAGAAGCGGTCAAAACCCACAACTGTTCACCAGACTTGTTTTAGACTTTACCTGGGATAGAAAGAGTGACTAGTTTTCTTACTTTTCTACTGGTTGGGATGGCTTATAGATGCTGGAACATAGTTAAAAGTTTATTTGAAGCAATCATCTGGACAGATGACTCAGATACAGATTAAATAAGACTAAAATTCTTTTATCCTTTCGCTATATATAAAAAAATCTTAATTATATGGTTAGTTGATGGCATGACACTATTGTTAGATTAAAAGAACCTTGCCATCTCTCCCCATCCCTGTTCAGGAGTTTGGATATAATTCGTGGGCAATAAATGTTTAATAAATCCAATGAAAAATGCCAAGTGGAAACTCACATTTCTAGAATGGAGTAAATCAATATTAAAATACATGCCATAAACCTGTCACCTTGTCCAATATTTATAAATACTTCTTCATTAAAGAACAATGTTGAAATGAAAAAAGTCCCAGACCATAGACATTCCGGAACCCCCCAGTACAAGCGCCTGATTCTTTTCCGGGTTGAACTTCAGGTTAATAAACTTGTAAACAGACGTCCAATGGGGGGAAATGGAAGGCAGGCAAGCTGATCTGTGGACAGAGCATAAATCTCTCGTCCCTGGCATGAAGGAGACAAGGGAGAGAAAACCCAAAGGTTTCCTCTTAAACCTTATCCAGCATGAATCAAAGTGAAAAATGTGGCACCACTGCAATGGAAATTGGATTTAGCTCATAAGCCAGAAATGAATTCTTCTTAAAGAAAACAGGGCAGGGGCTTTTGGAGAAAACACCACTTGTATATCTTGTCGATACATCAGTATTCCCAGCCCATCTATTTTCACCCCCCTTCAGCTGCATTTGTGCCAAAGCATATCTGGAGGAGGTTAGGGGAGTAACCCCACATTTTAGCGAAGGAATCCTGTGCTGTGCGACTCAGTGAAGCTGTAGGGCGTAACAAGAGGCACGCTGTGACATGCTCTAGCATCGAGGCAGATCAACACTTAAATGGGAGGTG